CTGAGAATGACGGATAAGTAGGGGGTTCCGAAATCTGTTGGCTAGGGTTTCTGGATTTAGGGTTCCAAGAATTGCAGATGAACAAAACGAAGAAGTGAGTCTCCTATTTATACACATTTCAGTACAAATCGAATAGGGAAAGAAAGAAGAAATGAATACTTATCTCGATCTGGGAAATAAATCGTATGCATGCACGATTCGAAGCCGATTTTCGTCGATTGAGACATTTTAGGTGAGTGAGGGCAGCGATTAAGGACTATCTCTGGGGCTATTGGGGATGGGATCGTCGATTTACAAGGGAAATATGTCGAGAAACGAAGAGGAATCGTCGGAATGGAAGAGATTTGGAGAGAAATTGGCGATTCGCTGTGTTCGAGTTGAGAGGAAATCGGGGACGAGGGCGGCGGGGTTTGGTGAAAATGGCATTTCCAGACCCTAACCCTAAATTTGGCAATTATATACGCGTTACAAAACGACGTTGTTTTGTACTTAGGGCGGGTACGGGGCGGGGATCGTTGAATCCGTCCCCGGCCCATCACCGCAACCACCGTGTTGCGGGCATACCCATCACCTCCTTCCAGCCCGCCTTCGCGGGTTTAAACCCATTTGTTTTCGGGCAGGGCCCGACGGATGTCCAAAATTCGCGGGCTCATTGCCATCCCTAATATATTGGGGCCCGAATGACGGGCTATTAGCTCAGTGGTAGAGCGCGCTCCTGACAATTGCGTCGTTGTGCCTGGGCTGTGAGTTGGGCAGTAAGGGTCGGAGAAGGGCAATTACTCATTCTTAAAACCAGTATTCTTAAGACCAAAGAGTGGGGCGGAAAAAGGGGGCGGGGGGAAGCTCTCCATTCCTGGTTTTCCTGTAGCTGGATCCTCCGGAACCACAAGAATCCTTAGTTAGAATGGGATTCCAACTCAGCACCTTTTGAGAAGAGTTGCTCTTTGGAGAGCACAGTACGATGAAAGTTGTAAGCTGTGTTCGGGGGGGAGTTATTGTCTATCGTTGGCCTCTATGGTAGAATCAGTCGGGGGGCCCGAGAGGCAGTGGTTTACCCTGTGGCGGATGTCAGCGGGCCATTGTCATCCCTAATATATTGTCTTTATAATTCTCGTTGATAATAAACTAATAATATTAATAATTATTAGGCAAAATAAAGTTCCATAGCCAAAACTTTCACGTTTGTGCCAATAATAGCCACATTTGGCGAAATACCACTTATAGCCACCTTTTGAAAATGTTGTTGCACAAATATAGCCATCTCCATTATAAACATTGACGGTGTTACTAACACCGTCAAATTAGTAGACGGTTCGCTGATTTGGCGAGAAGAATGCGAACACGTCAGCGCCAACTAAGCAATTATGGACACGTCATATATTACATTATTAAAAAAAAATTACCATATATTCGTATGTGGGGCGAATCGTTCAGCCCCCAACTTTGGCCCGATTAAAAATTAGGGTTTGTCCCCAATTTTCCTCTCCTCTCACGAATCCTCTTCCGATTTGGGAATTAGGGTTCTTCCCCAAACTTCCACTTTCCACTCTCCACTCTCCACGAATCCTATACTCCCTTCTGATCGATTCCGATTTCAGAATTAGGGTTGTTCCCCCAAATTCCACTCTCCACGAATCCTCTACTCCCTTCTGATTTCGATTCCGACTCGCAACGACGCAACCCTCTCCTTCCGCGATTTCTCCTGCCTTCCGCGATTTCTCCTGCCCACAGCTTCAAGCGAGCTGCAGGCATGTCCATGCGAGCAGCTTCCTCAAGTTCGAGTAGCACTCAGAAACTAGACGTGGTACTTTGTTGGTGCAATAAGCCATGTGTGGTCAAGACATCCGGCACAGAGTTGAACCCAGGCAGGCAGTTCTATGGATGTCCTTTTTGGAAGGTAAGGTGGCGTAGACATGATTTATGCATTTTTGTGGTACTTGTCTGAGCTAGAGTCGCAAGTTTATTTCTGTTATGGTGCAGGACGAGACGAAGAATTGTCGCTTTTTTAGGTGGGTGCGATTGAATGTGGATGAAGATAAGCAAGCAAACTCTGAAAGTAGTTCGATTCTGAAGCTCGAAGACAGTTTGCGTATAGCACAATGTAAGGCTGAGAGGAGGAAGAAAGAGAAGAAAATTATGTCCGATGAGCTATCTATATGGATGAAAGCACATGAGATTATGGTTGCTGAAGGAAGGAGGGTTAATCATGATATTCATGTAATTCGATATCAGTTCACTATTATTGTCGTACTGAATTTGATAATGGTCGTTCTTCTATGGCACCACTTTCTGATGTAGAAAGATTTCTCATTTGACAAGGTTGTTTCGTATGTGTAAGAACCTGTTGGTATGTAGGATCTATGAAAAGGGCTGTTTGCTAAGACACAATCTTCATTCCGCACTAATAAAGGTGTTCCAATTTCATTACATACCCCCATTAAAGAACATAGTAACCATAATCCGAAGTGTTCACAATCCGACCTAAAATAACATACTCCGAAGTGTTCGCAATCCGACCTAAAAGAACATACTTGGCCCTACCATACAAGGCCATTACATGAGACAACTTATCAAAATGAGGACCTAACATACAAGGCCATTACTCCACCCCTAACTGATATAGCAAAATAGTTGACTCATGCCATCCCACGTCTAAGGTTGTGTTGGTGGGGGTTGGCTTCCACGCAGCTGGACCTCATCATGCTGAGTACCTCCAACAGCACGCCCCCTCGAGCCATTCAGCTGCAATATCATAAGAGAAATTCATGAGTATGTTTGCATCAAGAATGAGGTAGACCAGCCTTGATTAACACGAAGCTGCCTTGCACAAGAATGAGGTAGACCAGCCTTCCTAATCATGAAACTCTGATTGCGACGGAACCAACTAGCATAAATCTTCCATTTGCAATTCTGGTCCTTGCATCTAACCTCCCTCCTACTTGGAGTACTCCTAACCCATCTCAGACAAGCCCCAGCAGCTATAGAGTGACGAACAACAACGGCCTTGAATTCCTCTATACTAGCAAACTTCATTCGAGGCACGAATGGGAGAAGCTTGTGGTCACATTTCGGATCATATTGCGGTGCATCGTCGAATATGTCCCTGCCATCCGAGTCCGACAGGTTAGGTCGAACATGGTTTGACTCTTCTGAAAGCCTGTAGCTTGAATGGTTTGAGTTTTGGCCCCTTGCTTCCTGGACGTTCTCTGCATCATCAACATGAACCTCATCTTGGCGTTGTGAAGCAACAGGAGCTGCTCCCTCAGCAGCCAACCCATCAGTTTGAGAATCTTCATCATTTGATCCTTCTTCCTCAAAATCATCAAGCTGCTCAACCTCCTCCCCATGGCCATCAACCCGCGCCTTCACCTTCCTCTTCTTCATCTCCCCATAAGCTCGCAGATTTGCCCTTGCTTCATGGTATTCGTCGTCAGATATATCTGCATCATCTGAGTCGTATACGTGGTATATGTCTCGAGACACAGAGGCCTCAACACCATCATCTGCATCCAAGAATTGATCTGATAAAACCTCAGCCGCTGGATCGTTCTCCCCAATTGCTTCATCCCAAGAATCAGCCATCTGCCATTCACGATTAAAATGTATTATAAACACCATTAACCACGTGACTATACAATATAATCTGTATTTTATTCACTACCTAACAAATGGAAAACAAGCTGCCAAATAGCAGAAGTTGCATACTCCAATCCAACAGCAGAGTGATGCTTAAAGAGTGAGTTACCATGGATCGAATTGTGAGCAAGCGAGCTGTTCTTTTTTTTATCATGTCCATTCAAGCAAAGAGGGGAGAAGGAAATTAATTTGGGAATTCGCAAGCAAGAAATTAAACTACAGAGTTGCTAACTGGCAAAATTAGAAGGCCATCTGCCATTCACGATTAAAATGTATTATAATCATCATTAACCACGTGATTATACAAACTAAACAGTATTTTATTCACTACCTAACTCATGGAAAACAACAAGGAAATACAGTATTCAATTCTAGGGTTCGTGGACAGCAAGAGGAATTGACAAATCTAACCTAGTAGAATCGACCCACTCACCTTCAGTTATGGGGGCAAACTCGCCAAAAGGATCAATCCAGTGGTCCCTAGATTTATCTGTCATGTCGCTCTCTCGTCTTTACAGCTCGCTACCAACCAAAAAAGATGAAACTATAAGAACCTAGCCCTTTCCTCAAACCTTCACTATTCAATTACAGCTCGCTATGAAACCCACAATATAGAACCAAGAAAGTTTCCTTACCAGTCGCGACTGACGAGGGAGAGCACAAATCGAGTTTTGAAGTGAGATTAGGGTTTCAAACTAGAATCGCGTCGGTCGATTCCGAGATTCCTCCGAAGCTTGCAGAAGAGAAGAAGCTTCGAAGGACTCGGCCAAAGCTCGGCGTCGGTTAGTCAACCCATCCTCTGTATGTGTTTCTCGAGGAAGGAGGCGGTAGGTTAAACTCGATCGATGGAGGAAAATCGAGACTGGGGAATGGGGGAAAATTGATGGTGGAGGAAGGAATAGCGGTGGTAGGGGGTTCGTCGGAGGGGGGTCGTCGGATGGGGTCGTCGGAGGAAGATCCTCCTTCGTCGCCTTCGTGGTCGATATTTCGTCGATGGGATGCAGAGGGTTTAGGTGAAGAGGATAAGGAAAGAGGAAAGAGAGCGCTTGGGTCTCCGTAAAAATTAGTGGTTTCTGATTTTGTATTTTTTTTTAATTATTGTCCACGTGGAAATCTGTGGCGGTCCACGTAAGCTGCTCCGTTTGCCCAGTCACACTTAACGTTACAGCGTTAAAGAATTGGACGGACTTGGCTATAAGTGGTATTTCGCCAAATGTGGCTATTATTGGCACAAACGTGAAAGTTTTGGCTATGGAACTGTATTTTACCTAATTATTAATATATCATTATTATTATTATAATATTTTTAATAACAAAATAATAATAATTATTAATATAATAATAATTAATTAATCTCGCGGCGGACCGCTGTAGGAAAACTAGTAAGTAGTATCCATCTAAGAATAAAGAAAAAGGTTTTGTAAAAAAAAAAAAAAAGAATGAAGAAAAAGAGACGACGACTTACAACAGTCAACGGATAAAGATAGTCAAGCAGCTCCCGCAAACTCTCTTGAAAATGAAAACCCAAGCTACCTTTCTACGCGTCTGTCTCGTGTTGGCCATCCCACAAATTGCCGCTCTATCACTATGGCCAAGCCTTTCCTTCTTCTTGTTCACAATCTCATCACCATCGCCAGCCTCTTCAAAGCTCCACTGCCGTCGTCGGCCTTAAGTTTCAACTTTACAGCCTTCACCAGCGACGACACCAACATCACCTACGAGCAAGCCTTCCCCGCCGAAGGCGCGATTCAGCTCACCCGAAACCTCCAGGGCTCCACCCTCAATTCCTCCCTCGGCCGAGCAACCTACCGGGAACCATTACCCCTGTGGGACCCACAGTCCCGAAACCTCACCGACTTCCAGACCCATTTCACCTTCAGCATCTTCTCTCAGTACAAAGATGGCTACGGCGACGGTCTCGCCTTCTTCCTCGCCCCCTTCGGCTCCAAGCTCCCTCCATCCAGCGCCGGAGGCACTCTGGGCCTCGTCGACAGCGCTCACGCGCTCAACACAACCGTCAACCGCTTCGTGGCGGTGGAATTCGACATCTTCAGCAACGATTTCGACCCGCTCCCGCTGGGTAGGCACGTGGGGATCGACATCAATTCGCTGAGATCTGTGAGGACCATACCTTGGGGAGCCGATGTAATGGGTGGGAGGAGGAGCGAGGCTTGGATTTCTTACGATTCCGCCACTCGAAACTTGAGCGTTGCTGTGTCTGCGTACGTGAGGGATGTAAGGATTGTGCAGAGGCTGAGCCACATAATCGATTTGAGGAATTACCTTCCAGAGGAGGTCACTTTTGGGTTCTCCGGTTCAACCGGAGACCAAGTGGCCATTCACAGGATTCACTCCTGGGAGTTCACTTCCTCCTTGGAAATAGTCTCCGCGTCTAACAACAGGACTGGCGGCGGTGGCCTCAACATCAACAGGGGAAGGGGAAAAAACAGAGTCGCCCTGTTTGCTGGTTTGGGTGCTGGGTTTCTGTTGTTGATTTTTTGTTTCGGTGGAATTTTTTTCAGAAAAAGGATTGTGGGCTTGATTGAAGGCGAGGGGCGCGATGATGGGTTTGTGATGGACGGAGTGTTGGAAAAAGGAGCCGCCGGGCCGAGGATGTTCACCTTCAGGGAATTGAAAAAAGCTACAAACAATTTCAGTGAAGGGGATAACAACAAGCTTGGCGAAGGAGGGTTTGGTGGAGTTTACAAGGGATTTCTCAAAGACAAAGATGGCGAGGATGAATGCGTTGTTGCAGTGAAGAGGGTGTCCAGAAAATCAAGACAAGGGATGAAGGAGTTTGTGGCTGAAGTGAAGATCATCAGCCGACTGAGGCACAGAAATCTGGTTCAACTAATTGGATGGTGTTATGAGAAAAAGGAGCTACTCCTTGTTTACGAGTTTCTTCCTAATGGCGGCCTGGATGCCCACCTTTTTAACGCGAACAAGGATGACAGCTTGTTGCTGACATGGGAAACGAGATACAGAATCGCCAAAGGCTTGGCCTCTGGGTTGCTCTACTTGCACGAGGAGTGGGAGCAATGTGTGGTTCACAGGGACATTAAGTCGAGTAACATTATGTTAGATTCCAATTTCAACGCCAAACTTGGGGATTTTGGACTGGCGAGGCTGGTGGATCACGAGAAGGGCTCCCAAACAACAATGCTGGCCGGGACAATGGGTTATATGGCTCCTGAATGCGCCGTGACAAGCAAGGCAAGCAGAGAGTCGGACATCTACAGCTTTGGGGTTGTGCTTCTGGAAATTGCTACCGGGAGAAGGCCTGCAGTTACGGAAGACAAAGAGGGGGGTTTTGTGCATTTGGTTCACTGGCTTTGGGACCTCTATGGAGCTGGAAGGCTGCTAATGGAGGGTTCTGATCCAACGCTGAATGGAGTGTTCGATGAACAAGAAATGGAGAGGTTAATGATCATCGGGATGTTCTGTGCTCACCCAGATTCTAGCTCGAGACCTTCGGCTAGGCAAGCGCTTCAAGTGCTCAACTTTGAGGCTCCATTGCCGATTCTTCCACTGAATATGCCGGTCGCGACTTACGGCGACTTCCAATGGGCGGACCAATGTTCCACTCCTTCATCGTTGACTATCACAGCGGGGTACGGTGACCGGAAAAGTCAGTTTTCTAGTGACATTACTTCATCGTCAAAGTTCAACACATCGGATGGAGCTTTCCCACCTTCACCACTTGCAGGATCGGCTGATGGAGTCACTATCTAATTTAAGTTCTGAATGATAATCCAGCTAGTGGGGATCTACGATTTGGTCGCATAATTTGAATTTTTCCGTTCCAGTCTTAAATGTAAAAGGGCCAACATAAACCATTGAAGAAGATTAAATGTAAATGGGCCCTCTGTTTCGAAATCTGTCATGGTACAAAACAAGGGAGCGGATACTATAACAACACAAGTAACAGCAGGGTAAAAGGGTCAATTAACAAAATATAATAAAAATTGAAATTTGGACGGATGAAAACCCTGCTTCGTCACTCTCCTCTTTCCCCAATCTCCGACTCCGCCCATCCTCCAACCACCGTCCTCGTAGCCGTCGTCGTCGTAGCAATTCTCCCCCGTCGCCGCCCGCCCGGGCCTGGGGATGACCACGCTCATGGAGACGGCGTCGCCCATGGAGAATCTGGCGGCGGGCGAGCTGTCTTTGGTTTCCCCGGGGTAGGCGTCGTAGAAGCCGTGCTAGATCAGGATCGCCTTCCCTGGTTGAATCTTTCGGTGCCAGATTCGGATCGTTCCCTATGTGTTCATCTAATTCGTCTCCTCGCGCCGCCGGGCACGGCTTTCCTCCGTCGTCATCATCACCATTAACGTCCGTTTATGCCACCAGAGACCATAATTTTCATCGGTTTGTCCTCCTTGCCTTTGACCCCTGTCCAATTCATTATTTGATCTGAACAAAAATGGAATTCTCCCACACTGCAATCATTGATACCAATTCCTAGCTGATCTCCATTCTATCAATTCCGAGTACAAATGCCCCTCTGCTTTTTAAGCTTTCGTTGTTGGTGATCCATCAGGGAATATGAAGTTGTGTTTCCCCTGCTTGTATATTTCTATACTTAGGTAAACAAGTTCTCCTGCTGCAGAAGTGGGAATATGAAGTTGAGCCACCTCATGCACTCATCACTGCGACTGCTGCAGGAAACCGGCTTTACTTGTTCAACGTCACTGCAAATGGTAAACAAGTTCTCCTGCTTACCGAGGGGACTTGTGAAGATGCAGATAATCAGAGAGATGATTGGCCGATCTATTTATTTGTTTTGCAGGTCTTCAGTGGAAGAGACATTACCCGGAGTTGAAGAAGATAGCTGACTCGTTTCGTGTTGTTTAGTCAGTAGCTTGTTAGATCTTTGTACAATCAGAAGAAGAGTTCGAAAGGGTATTTCGAATCTCTTGGTGTTCTCGTCGTGGAAACAATCGAGAGGCCAGAATGTACGGTGCTTAGTAAAGAGTATGCAAGTTGACATACTATCTGATACTACATACTAGCAATCCTCTTCATGGTAACTTTGTAGCAAGATAAGGTTTTCCAAGCATGAATGGACCGTGTATTTTACTATTTTTTCTGCTTGCGATACTACGAATGTACTGTGTATATATACTAGATGGATCATAGATTCACTCATTGTTCATTTATGTATCTCAATTACTAAATGAAGCCATTTACAAAACACATCCAATAACCAAGTGCATAATTGAGTGCAGCTAGAACTTTCTTTCTTTGACCTAAGTCCTTTCTATCACTTGCTGTCTTTGGTTGGCTAACGGAAGTGTTGAATCACCCTTTTTTCGAAAGCATACCACAATTATTTCGAAAACATACCAAAAACCTCCTAATGCAGACCATAAATTATCTAAAACATACCAGAAACACGGTATAACAAACAAAAAATATTTCTAAAGCACACCAGGAACCCCCTAATACAAACGACAAACACGGTAAAGCAAACCAGAAACGTCCTAATGCAGTCCAAAAATCTATTAAAACAAACCAGAAACCTCACAAAGCAAACCACAAAATTTTCAAAAACACACCAGAAACCTCATAATGCAAACCAGAAACCTCCTAATGCATACCACAAATTTCCTAAAACAAACCACAAACCTCACAAAACAAACCACAACATTTGCGAAGCACACCAGAAACCTCCTAATGCAAACCACAAACACAGTAAATCAAACCACAAAAAAACAAACCATAAACGTCCTAATGCAGACCACAAATATATTAAAACAAACCAGAAACCCCTCAATGCAAACAACAAAGTTTTTGAAAGCAAACCAGAAGCTTCTCAGTGCAAACCACAAACACGATAAAGCAAACCAGAAACTTCTTAATGCAAACCACAAACACGATAAAGCAAACCACAAAAGGCATACAAAAATATGAGAAACCAAACCATAAATCTCACAATGCAGATCATAACATCCGGTGGTCGTTGGTCGTTGACCGGTCAACAAAGACCTTTGACCGGTCAACAAAAACTGTTGACCAAACTCCGATGACCGTCAGTGAGTAGATTCCGGCGTTGATAGACATATTCCGGCTCTGATGACTAGATTCCGACGCCGGTAAGCATATTCCGACCACGGTGAGCATATTCCGGCGACGGTGACATATTCCGACGACAAAATAGCATATTCCGGCGACAAAAAATCATATTCCGGTGACCGTCGACTAGATTCCGGCGACCGGTGGCCGAATTCCGGGGACCAAAATTTTGGGCCGAAAAAAAAAAACTATTTTTTATTTTTATTTTTTTTATTATTTAAACATATTTTCATAATGACAATTATACCCCTGCTTTGATTTTACACTAGGTCAACTCATCTAATAAAAAGTCATCACAACCCTAGCTTCCTATTGGTTGGAGACTAGTGTTGTTACAATAACAACACAAGGGATGTTGTCATAGTATCTAGTCCCACAAAACAACTACATATTACGAGTAATTCTTAGGCAATATATTACCAGCAATTTTTGTCATATATAACGAATATAATTTTATCTAGGGGTACATGACATGTTTGGTCATTGTATTTACAAATATATTCTATAGGTGTTATTAATATTGTTATCAAAACCGGATCGAACTGGCTGGTCAGACCATGATTAATCGAATTCGGGCTGACTTCAGTTCTGATTGCCTAAAAATACAAAGAAAGCTAGTCTGTCGGATATTAACCGGTTAATCAGAAAATCTGCCTAAACTAGATCGACGATTTTGGTTCCACTTTAGAGTTTTGCCATGGTTGTCACGTCGGCTTCCTGTCGGCCGGTTCAATAAGGTACAACCATTACCGGTTACCAAACCAGTTGGAAAGGGGATGATATTAAGCCTTGGTCAAATCCAATTAATACCGGTCAAATTCAATCAAAATCGCAAATACCGACCAGTAAGATCAGGAATCGAATTTCAGTATTTTCACACATGTCGTTCAAAAATAAACACCCTTCATTGGATTTTAACTAAATACTTCATGTTCATTAGTTTCAATTATACAAAGATAAGTTACAAACAACTTAGTTATATATACATATTAACCTTATATATTATATAACTAATGCTATATTTCACATAAATAACGGTAAACATTGATAAAATTTATTTTATATACTTTTATTTTTATTTTTACGTATATAATTTTCTACTGTTAGTTACCAATTCTTAACTATAAATTATTTTGTGTGAATTAACTCTTTCAATTGCTTCTTCCTAATTTATTTTATTTTATATCGATGAATTCCATCTTACTCATGTATTTTATTAAAACCAGCAGAACAGACATATACACCGACTGTACCACGGTAAGATCATTATACCAGAAAAATCGGCACATCGACATCAGCTGATTTGACTACCTTGCATTTTACAACTAATTTTTTGGTTAAACCTGAAAGCAAATTTAAATGGGAACTAGGAAAGAGAAATGTTCATTTCCCTTTCTTCTTTTTCACCACTTTCTCAATTTGTTTCCTCTTGCGTTCACTCTCCTTTTCCTCTTCACTATTCTCTCAGGGCTCTAAGTTTGGTACCGGTATTTGGTATATACCGAATACCGTATTGAATTATCACTATTTAATATTATCGAATACTGACTTGTTTTTTAGGGATTGAGATTGGGATTCATTTCAGAGTGCTATTCGGTATTCAGGATTACAAGATTGGGATTGGTAATACATAGAAACACTGAAAATTAAAAATTAATGAAATATAGCACACAATCTTTGGTCATTCCTCACTCTTTAACAACTTAGAAGCCTCCATCCAACTCAATTTTGATTTTTCAGTTTAACCACTCTCGTCTCTCACCTCATCTCTTGTCTACACAATAAATAAAAAGAAAATGGGGAAACTTGAAACCTCATTTCCAATTTCATGCATCGCGAAAGTAGGAAGAGTAGATTCATCTTCACAATCATTTATTATTTTCTTATTTACATGGAAAAAATACATCAATAATGGGATTTGAAACCTGGTCTCTTCGAACAAAAATAAGAAACACAACTAGTTACACAAACCAAATTTGTTAAATCTTTTTAAATTAAAACATACATGAAGCTTAAATTTGAAAAATACAAAATACACTTTCATAGCCATAACTATTCACGTTGTGACAAATATAGCCAAATTTGGAAAAATACACTCATATAGCCACTTTTGAATACTTGATTGACAACTTTAACCATTTTCGTTATAAACTTTAACACCGTTAATCTTCAATGATGTGGATATACACATCATCAAATGTATGCCATGTGTAAGCCACCTAAGTTTAAATCATTATTTTAAATAATTTCCTTAATTATATTTTTGCCACTATTATAATTAGAAGAAAAAATCATTTAATTTTTTTTCCAGTTATCCTTTCCCCTTCCCCATGGAGAGAGCAGAGAACAAGATCCAATCTCCACCTGTCACTCTCCGATCCACCGACCGGTCTCCCTCTCCGTCGTTTGGAGTTCTTTCCTTTCTTCATCCCCGAGCCGTCGATCTTGTCGTTGCTGGCTTCATCCTCTCTTCTTTCACTGTTTGTCATCCAGATTCGGTAACTTTGGATTGGGGAAGAAGGACTCATCTGCCGCTGGCCGCTGTATACTGTACCTCGCCAGTCAGCACCCTGAATCGTCGTTGAGCATCCCCTCCCTTCAATCGTCAACAACGCAATTGCAGAACCCATCCTCTGTCAGACACTTTATCCTCTTCCTTTTTGTCGTACCTTGAATTGTCGATTAGCATAGACTTCAACTATCTTTAGCCGCCGGCGCGGTGCGGGTGGTGGGAGGTGCAGAGAGGAAGGGGAAGAGAGGGAGAAGGGATAATTGGGGAGATTTCTTGTTCGAAATCGAATTCTAGGAGATGCTTTCTTGTGGGGTTTGTGATTTTGGCCTGCAAGGGGAGAAAGAGGGAGAATTGGTCGGTTTGTGGATTACCAGATGTCAAGGTTTGAGAACTACCGTTGATGGGGCAGAAATTTAGGCCCTGAAAACCGGCAGCTGCTGTGCAACTACGCTGACTATCTTCCGCTAGGGGTTTTCCCTTGATTGATTCTTCGTTACCACCGGCGACGCCAGATTTTGTAATGAAGAATAAGACAAGGATTGAACAACGGGAGTGCTTAGAAGATTGAAGAATAAGGTGACGCTCTATCTCATCTCCACCTCCGACTCTCTTCGTCTCTAGCGACATCCCTTCACAGCCGACTGGATGAGGGAACGAGATGGTGCCAACCAACTATTTCCACCACCTATGTTCTCTCGCCGTCGATGAAACCCTTTGCCGCAGGTGACTCTATTCGTTGCCATCGATTCCCTCTAATGACTCTGTTTTGCTTGGAAGACGAATTGTTGAGGGCACTAATGACTCTGCTCATCTTCTCTTACATTTCCTTTGCTTTTTTGTTTTTTAGTTATTTAAAATAATAATATTTTCAACTTGGAAAAATCAAGAATAAAAGTTGCCACGTCAGCATAAACCGTTAGTCCAGTAAGCATTTGTGATGTTTCCGTTAAAGTTTGTGACGAAATGACTATATGAGTGTATTTTTCAAAATTTGGCTAAACTTGTCACAAAACGAATAGTTATGGCTATGAAAGTGTATTTTGACTTTGAAAAATGATAGGACTTTTCCACCACGGTTAGCTAACCCACTAACTCTCCCGTGATTATTTTTATTGGTATTTGATACTCTCTTATTTGATATTTTGTTTATTCTAATTTGAGTTTAACAATTAATTTCATTTCAATTATCTTATAAGAGGAGGATAATTTTAAATCGCAACCCAAATGTCAATGGTTCAAATATTGCATATCGAATTGCATTATTGAATGCGCATAAGCAATGTAGAATTCTTAACATATACCTAATTTTTATAACTACCATAAAACAACGATATTTTGAACACAAAAGTTTTGGATGAATATGGAACACATGTGTCTTTAAGAGAGGAGCAAATATGGAAATGTTAAGTGATTGGTTTGTCTAACGCGAAAGGAAAAGACACTACTAATGTACCTCTCCTCATCGTGATTCCTCGCCATTACCATGACAAATTCCTTGTCTTGATAGCCAGAGAACCTTGAAATCATACTCACTTTTGCCTTTTTGATAGGATGAATCACCGAGATGGAGGGGATCCGTTCGACGACTTCAGACAATGTTCAGCTTCCGATTCCGAAGACTTAGTTCCAACAATCAATATCCTAAGACAAAAGTTCCATCAATAAAAACACTAGAAAAGGGAACGAAGGAAATGGTCGTTAGGCATAGTGAATTAGCAATGCCCTTCACATTAAAATTCAAGATTCATAATTGAAAACTAAAATTTGAAACACCAAAGTTAAATGCACCAATAGTTTCCTTCTTTCTTTTCCTACAAAATTGAACACTAAAATATTCCACCTTTTTTTCCCCAATAAATTAAAAGCATTCAAATTTACCCTTTTTCTCTCTTCTAAATAATTGAAAGCACCAAAAGTTTTTATTTTTTCATTCTACAAAAAGTTGAAAACACAAGAAATTCCCTCTTTTTTTTCATAAATCAAAAGTACCAAAATTTCTTACTTCTTTCTTTTTCCAAAAATCGAAAGAATCAAATTTATCCCTTCTTTCTTTTCATAAAAAGTTATCAACACCAAAATTTTCCCTTTTTTTAAACTAATTAAATTACGAAATACTTTAATTTACTATATTTATATCTAATTGATAACTTTGATTAACCAAAATTTTAATTATTCATTATCGTATTGGCATTGTGATGATTTTATATTTCATATTTACTTTTTTGTAATTTTGTTAAAGAAATTACTGTTCAAGTGAACTTCATTGTTTAATTTTGGTAATTTGTAAAAAAATACATAATTTGAAGTGAATTTTTCGGATTTTGAACTTCCCTTTACGAAATAAAAATGGCTTTAGTTTGGCTTAGAACGAAAAAACTTCATTTTGAAAGACTATAAATTATTCAGGTCAATCGGGTGGGTTTTGGTTAATCATTTTTGTATCAATCGTGTTGCGCCCCAATCGGATTACGAATTTAATCAAATTTGGGTCAATCGAGTTCAGATTAATCGGATTGCGGATCAATCGAACTACAGTATGAACGGGTTTGACTTCTAGTTTTGAAAATTGGCAAACCTCATTTGTAGCTATCTTTTCCTCTTGTCATTACTTGTAAAAAGAAAACTTATGAGTAGGTTTGGAAATTGGCAAACCTCATTTCCTGCCGCCTCATGGCACACTTCCAAAGTGACAAAAGTTGGATAAATAATAAAAACACTAGAAAAGAGAAGGAAGGAAATGGTCGTTGGACTTGCCAATGCCAATAAACTATCACAAATGTAACTACGTGACGCGAGTCAATACTACTTTGTTTTTCCCCCTTCTGAACTTTTTTAGTAACAAATTGGATGGCTTTGCTCCTGAATTTGCATACTCCAGGCCAACCTTGAATGCATCTGTCCTTCCTGGCGTAACAAAATTTTATTTCCCCTCGTCAATGGCGGCCACGTTTTGCTCTTTCCTTTTGGTGGTCAGTACCATCTCCACCATCACCCCTTCATCCTACGGATTATCTTTCAACTACACAACCTTCAACGGCCACGCCGAGAACATCAACTACGAGGAAGCCTTCCCAGCGGACAATGCAATTCAGCTCACCAAAAACCTCCTCGGCTCCGATCTCAATCAGAGCTTCGGCCGCGCCACTTTTAGCTCACCGCTGCCTCTCTGGGACGCTAATTCAAGAAAGCTCACTGATTTCAAAACCCATTTTACATTCAGCATCTTTTCCCAATACCAGGATGGCTACGGCGATGGCCTCGCCTTCTTCTTGGCTCCCAAAGGATCGAAGCTTCCCCCTAGCCTCACAAACGGAAGCTCCATGGGACTCACCAGAGACCTCCAGCAGCTGAACAAATCTGAGAACCGTTTCGTGGCCGTGGAGTTCGACATCTTTAGCAATCCATGGGACCCAGCTGGGAAGCACGCCGGGATCGACCTCAACTCCATGGAATCCGCCAAGTCCATCACTTGGGGAGGAGATGTAGTCGGCGGGAGGAGGAGCGACGCTTGGATCACTTACAACTCCAGTGTGCACAACTTGAGTGTTGCGGTGACGGGTTTCGTGGCCGATATGATGTTTGTTCAGACCTTCAGCTACGTGGTGGATTTGAGAGATTACCTTCCTGAAGAGGTGACTTTTGGGTTCTCCGGAGCTACAGGGAATCAAAGCGCGATTCACAGGATTCACTCGTGGGAATTTGAGTCCACATTGGAAGCAACTGGGCCTCCTCAAAGAAGCAGGGGAAGTAAAAACAGAGTTCCCCTGATTCTCGGTTCAGGAGGGATGCTCGCTGGGTTGGTGTTGTTGCTTTCTCTTGTTACTCATTATTACAGGAGAAGGATGTTTTGTAGGAGGAACGATGGGCATGGCAATGATGAGGACGAGCAACATCAAATCGATCGTCGAATCATGGACCAAGTATTGGCGGAAGGAGCGGAAGGAGGGCTGAGGAAGTTCTCGTTCCAAGAACTGGCTCGAGCAACCAACAACTTCGACGACGGAGAAAACAAGCTTGGGGAAGGTGGTTTCGGCGGGGTTTACAAAGGGATTCTCGCGAGGGGGAAAAACAACGGGGAGGAGTACGTTGCGGTGAAGAGGGTGTCCAAGAGATCGAGACAAGGGATTCGGGAATTCGCGGCGGAGGTGAAGATCATCAGCCGATTGAGGCATCGAAACCTGGTGAGGCTGATTGGATGGTGCCACGACAAGGAAGAGCTGCTGCTGGTTTATGAGTTCCTTCCCAATGGCAGCCTGGATTTCCACCTCTTCAAGCACAAGGACAAGGATGGCAGTGCCACCACACTGCCGCTGGGCTGGGAGACGAGGTACAAAATAGCCAAAGGGCTAGCCGCCGGTTTGCTCTACTTGCACGAGGAGTGGGAGCAATGCGTGGTTCACAGAGACATCAAATCGAGCAACGTGATGCTGGATTCCAATTTCGGGACCAAACTGGGGGATTTCGGGCTGGCGAGGCTGGTGGATCATGACAAGGGACCCGAAACAACGATCCTGGCGGGGACCATCGGGTACGTGGCGCCGGAGTGCGTGACGACCGGGAAGGCGAACAAGGAGTCGGATATCTACAGCTTCGGGGTGGTGGCGCTGGAGATCGCGACGGGGAGAAAGCCGGCGGTTATGATGAAGCTGGAGAAGCAGTGCTTTGTGCATTTGGTTCAGTGGGTTTGGGAGCTTTACGGGGCCGGGAGGATGATCGCAGAGGGCGCGGATCCCAGATTGGGCGGGGAGTTTGACGGAGGAGAGATGGAGAGGCTGATGATCGTTGGGCTGTGCTGTGCCCACCCGGATTCGAGCTTGAGGCCTTCGGTGAGGCAGGCGCTTCAAGTGCTCAATTTCGAGGCCCCGTTGCCGATTCTGCCACCCAATATGCCGGTGGCTACTTTCGTTTCTGCCCCGCCGTCGATCAGTGGAACCTCCACCTCGTCCTTGTCGGTAATGGCATTGACCGAGTCACTTGACGTCACCAACGCCATGGCCCGGTGACCGGCAAGCCTTGTTGACGCAGAAGCTACTTCTTTTTTTGGCGGGGAGCTAGGGTACGTTAGTGGTGATTGGATTATATTGTTAATCTAATATTAATATATGCTGATGCTGATATTTTACTACACACACTCTCTCTTGTTCTTTTGCCTCGTCGTGTTTCCCTTGTAATCTTCCCTGGGTTCTTGGACAGAAGGACATCTGGATCAACTGAGCATAAACAAGAAAAACAAAAAAGATGAAGAAATTATTTTGTTGGCTCTTCACTTTGGACTAACTCGGATTAATTCCCTAAATACAGATAAAACTAAAACAAATTCCTAAATTACTACACTTTTAAAAAATTTTCTCAAAATACCTAAGTTTGGAGTGGTTCGAGTTTAAGGAACTCGAACTACTAACCGGTTCGAGTTTAGGAGACTCGATCTAGTCGTAGATTGATGATATAAGCCTCGAACCACTCCTTTGAAATTTTCAACAACCTTAACTTTGTGCTCGGTTATCCGATCGTAGCAAACTTTTTTTTCATTTCGCATAACTTTTCAAGGACTACAACTTTTATAATAGAAATCTTTTCAGAATATATGTGAAATAATGAAAAATAAAGTTAAATTTACTCCCAAACCACCTTATATTAAAAATTGTTCCTATTTTGAAAATTTATTCCTTGTAAATGTTGTAGTACTCAAAAAATTATGCAAAATAAAAAAAAACTTTGCGACATTCGGATTCTGGAGCACAAAGTTATGATCCTCTAAAGTTTGGCAAAATCGAAAAATTACTCGTTGAGGGGTAACAAATGACATTTTCTCGGGGCGAAGGCACGCGAAATTTTTTTATATATAGGAAATTTCTGCCAAAAGAGCAATATTTTTCCAAACGAGAAATTTTTGGATGGCTATCTTCTTAGAAAACGTCATTTGCTACCCATAATAGAGCAAATTTTCGAATTTGTCAAAACTTTGGAGGATCATAACTTTGTGCTCCGCAAAACGTCGCAAAGTTTTTTTTTTTGTTTTGCATAATTTTTTGAGTACTACAACATTTACTAGGAATAAATTTTCAAAATAGGAACAGTTTTTAATATAAGGTGGTTTGGGAGTAAATTTAACTTTATTTTTCACATTTTCACATATATTCTGAAAATATTTCTATTATAAAAGTTGTAGTCCTCGAAAAGTTATGCGAAATGAAAAAAAAGTTTGCTACGATCGGATAACCGAGCACAAAGTTAAGGTTGTTGGAAATTTCAAAGGAGTGGTTCGAGTTCACTGAACTCGAACCACTTCAGCTCCACATGGTTCGAGGCTTATATCATCGATCTACGACTATATCGAGTCTCCTAAACTCGAACCGGTTATTAGTTCGAGTTCCTCAAACTCGAACCACTCCAAACTTAGGTATTTTGGGAAATTTTTTTAAAAGTGTGGTAGTTTAGGAATTTGTTTTAGTTTTATCTGTATTTAGGGAATTAATCCGACTAACTCATTCAACCTCCGTTTGGCGGTTAGTTCTGCTAGATTTGTGGCCCGCGCTCCCCCTGCGGAAAGCTTGATTTGTATGGAATATGGTTTATCTTCTAGTTGAAATTGTTATATTTGTTACCGTGTGTTTCATACGTTTTTTTACACATTTTTTTTACTATGTTAATAATTTTGGTGGTCACCGTATAACCCCTGAACGGTAGAATAGTCTAATGTGTAGGGGTAGTTGAGCATAGTTTACTCCTTGAAACAAATCACCATGAAACAAATAAAGTCCAAACCCCATACAAAAAAGATCCGATTGGTGGGCAGAAGGTACCCGTTTTCGAGAGAATGAAAACTACTCATGAAATCATATTTTCTTTATATATAAAGGTGAAGTGAATTGAATGATTTAAGAGAGGTGCAAAACACACAAATAGACCAAAGCAGGAATGCAGTTGAAAAATGCAGCAACCATGACAAAGAGACTATATGTACACTTCTAACAGAGGATACCATAAAAGAAAGAATAGCATAATGGCTGCAGAACTACGTAGTAGTAAATCCACAAACCATAAAAAAATGTCAAGGTGTCGAAGCCAATACAACACAACATGAAAAAAAAACCCGCATTAGTTAACATAAATTATTGATTGAAAGGAGATCAAAACGATTGCAGGCTCTGCTACACCTTATCTCAGCTATCAGAAAGTGGGTTCTTCATCTACTACACCGTACTTAGTGGACACATATGTGAAACATTGCATCACAACCCCCGATCCCTTTCCATCCAGAGGTGTTTCCTATTCTGCTCATCATTTCATACAAGTTCAAACAAATTCAGACACTCTCACCAAAATTAGTAGCAGCCATCAGTACCTCACCCCCTAAAAGATCCACTAAGGGTGGAAAACTGCAGCTCCTGAAATCATAATTGATGTTTGGTAAATCTCAAAAGTGATTAATAGCATAGGGAAATATGGCTATGAATAAATCATATAAATTAGTTTTTGAAAAGAAGAACATAACACAGATATGTCTAATTACCAAACAAAATACAATGTGAAAACGTTTGGAGATTATGATATAAGCTCATTTTCATGCTGGTTACTGTCTGGGCTCGTCCCTGTCAATTACCATGCCCTCTGCAATAGAAATTTTTGTTTTGGCAGGGGAAAATTTCAAAAGAAAATCTCCGAGGGAGCGTCGAGACGCAAGCTCTCGTGATTTTAATAATAATTCCCATAGCTTCTTACCTTCTTTCTTTCTTCTCCCAATCCATCCTTAAATCTAATTCACCCAAATGCAATGTGATGATGGATATAGTGATTACCCTTTGGTTAAATTAACATATCAGTCAAATAAATTATGCACTGGGCAACTTGATGTCTTTTCTTGGCCTACGGAAGAAACTCTAACTCATAGGTTCAAATTTTGGTCTAAGAAACCTGCAAATAGGAACCCAAATGCATCAGAAACATGTCAGCTTGAAGCTTAACACAGCCGGTAAGACTTTTCTATCTGAAGATGGAGGTTACACACAAAACCTTTACATGTAAAAGTAGCTAAACATGAGCGGAATCCCTTCCGCAGCGAAACATGTCAGATTGAAGGTTAGGTAAGACTTTTCTATCTGACGATGACGGTTATACACAAAACCTTTACATGTGAAAGTAGCTAAAAAATTGCGATAATCATCAATCTTACACATAAAACCTTGAATGTTTAGTACAAACTAAACATCAACATAAAAACCCATTCTGAACAGCAAGCACAGTCAAGATTCGGGTTTTTAGAGGCTAAATGGTTTCATGAGAAGATAGCTTCCTTTCTTATATATGAAACAGAGTTGGCATTAAACAAAACTTGAAAAATTGCGAAGTTAATTATCTGGCTCTATCCATTTAAAGTAAACCATTTGACAAACCAATTCGGATGGCAGAGGTCCTTTTGAAACAGAGGTTTTAAACTCTAGGAAGACAATATTGCCGGACTGATACAGACCTATTAGTATTATACAGAGGAAGCTCAGTTTTTTTTTTTTATATTTTATGAATGAAGCTCAGATTCACAAACCCACAAAATGCAATCAAATAAACAAATCAAGAAAAGAAAGAAAGGAACCATTTCCAGTCTTGATTTACTGAATTTTCTTCTAATTATTTTACGGCACAATATTAGCTCTTTGTCTTGCTAATTGCTATCTTCTTTTGGGTGGTGTTCCTCTTTGTGTTTGAAACAATGGATGCAGGCTCTCCAAATTGCATTCCACCACCCAACTCCAGCTTCTTTCTGTTGATGCTGCTGATGCTTCCACCGGCTTCAATCGATGAGAAGAAACATTTCCCGAAATTGTTTTTGACCTAGAAATGTCAGAAGACGAACCTTCTTAAGTTATTGCAATTGGACAACGAAGCCAGCAGAAACAAAAAAGTAGTAATAAAAGACAGCAAATTTCTCTAAACTTGAAATAGTCCAAGTTGACATCCAGGCATAAACCCGACTAGTCAACGGCGACGAATGACCACACCAAACCTCAGAAGAAAGAGATGCGCATAGTCAAACGGACCTCTTCTCCCAATTACAACCCTAATTAAGTGCTTAATCAGATTAAGAAATCTGCAAACTTTGCGGGAAATCTGGTCTCCGCTAAAAACATGGATCATCAGCGCCATCACCCTTGGTTTCTCCTTCTTTCCCTGCTCTGCCTCTCAACGGCCGCCGCCGCCGCCACAAACTTCACCTACTCTTCCTTCTCCGCCAACGATCCAAACATCACTGTCCTGAACGCCACTACCAAAGGCCAAAACCTGGGCCACCCTTCCATTCTCCTCACCAGCTCCCAAATCTTCGGCAGCGTCTTCAACTCCTCCGGCCGCGCCTTGTACTCCTTTCCAGTTCAACTCTACGACCCGTCCAACAATCTCACCACCAACTTCACCACTTACTTCGAATTCCAAATCTTCTTCCCCAATCAAGACAATTCCAACGCCACTTCCGGCGGCGGCTTGGCCTTCTTCCTGACTTCCGAGGACAGATCATCGGTCGTCCCCGCGGGCTCCGCCGGCGGTATGTTGGGCTTGTTCAATCAGACTGACGAGGGCGACGATTCCAACCAGATCGTGGCCGTGGAGTTCGATACTTTCAGGGACAGATGGGATCCTAGCAACAATCATGTTGGAATTAATGTGAATTCGGCTGTCTCAGTGGCGAATCGGACTTGGAATAACACGTTGGTGAGCAATGACATACTGGGTGCTAGAATTTCTTACGACGGCGCTTCGAATATGCTCAGCGTGTTCCTTAAGGATCCGGATATCCCCAACGATTTCGGATCGTTAAGCTTCAATCACTCGGTGAATTTGAGAGAAGTCCTCCCCGAGAGAGTGATTATAGGCTTCTCTGCTTCCACAGGAAGTGCTGTTGCAATCCAGAGTATCAGGAGCTGGAATTTCACTTCAACTCTGGCGGCTATCGCTACCGACGGAGGAGGCGGCGGCGGAGACGGCGGTGGTGACGGCGGGTTTCAGATGTGGATGATTGGTCTGATTGTAGGGCTGCTGCTGGGTGCTGGGGCTGCCGTTGGCGCGGTTAAGTGGAGAAACGACGAGAGGAAGAAATTGAAGAAACAGAGTCAGCATTCTGAGGAAGAGATGGAAACGGAGGATGAAGAGGAGTCGATGGATGAGGATATGGGTTGGGGATCAACAGGGCCCAAGAAGATGAGCTACAAGAAACTGGCTGCGGCAACCAACAACTTCTCGGAGGAAGGGAAGCTGGGGCAAGGCGGGTTCGGAGGGGTGTACAAGGGCTACTTGGAGGAGCTGAACGCACAAGTGGCAGTGAAGAAGGTGTCAAGCGGGTCGAAGCAGGGGAAGAAAGAGTACATCTCCGAGGTGATGACCATAAGCCGCTTGCGGCACAGGAATTTGGTTCAGCTCGTGGGCTGGAGCCACCAGAAGGGAAGTTTCGTCCTGGTGTACGAGTTTATGCACAATGGGAGCCTGGACGCCCATCTCTTCCGTAAGAATAACAACAAGGACAAGGTTCCCCTGCCATGGGCTGTTCGGTTCAAAATAGCGCAGGGTCTGGCCTCTGCTTTGCTCTACCTCCACGAGGAATGGGAGCAATGTGTGGTTCACAGGGACATCAAGTCGAGTAACGTGATGCTGGATTCCAAGTTCGATGCCAAGCTTGGCGATTTCGGGCTAGCCAAGCTTATTGATCACAACCTCGGGTCTCAAACCACAGTCGTCGCTGGGACCATGGGGTACATGGCTCCCGAGTACCTCATGACGAGCAAGGCGAGCAAAGAATCCGATGTCTACAGCTTTGGAGTGGTGGCATTGGAGATTGCTTGCGGGAGGAAAGCTGTGGAGCACAGGGAGGAAGAGTCGAAGGTGGTTTTGGTGAATTGGGTTTGGGAGCTTTATGGACAAGGAAGGGTTCTTGAAGCTGCAGATGAGGCTCTTTCGGGCGAGTTGGACAAGGATGAGATGACATGTTTACTGACTGTGGGATTATGGTGTGCTCACCCTGACCATGATCTAAGACCTTCAATAAGGCAGGCCATCCAAGTTCTCAACTTTGAGTCCTTGTTACCCACGCTTCCATCTCACATGCCCGTGCCTTCTTTCTATGCTCCACGACCTGCAAACTCCATCTCATTGTCCTCCTACACATTATCCACTCAAGTTACAGGAGACATGTCCCCACGTTCAACAAGCTCCACCCAGAATTTGATTTCTGATGACAATGATTCCTATACCCTCAGATCAACTAGCTCATGACATCATGTGAGACACTCACCCTTTGTTTGCTTATCCCCTTGGTTTGTTCATTCCAATTTCCAAATGTGTCTGGTTTTGTTTTCTTTCTTGTCAATTGGCCATTGTCATTCATTTATACGTTGAGCAAGGTTAATGCATTCTGTTCTAAAACATAGAGGAACATCTCACACATTACACATCCTCTTTCAAATAAAGCATCTTTTCCAATGCAAAAATCTAATTACAATCATAGTTCAAATTTAGGAAGGAAAAAAGAAAACTGAAGTAATTGAAACCAGGAGTGGATTCCATCAATAAACCGTGATTATGTAACTCTGTATAATCACTCTCCATGACAATTTAATATATTTTGTAAAAAAAAGACAATTTAATATCAATAGATAATTTGTTTTATTTTTAATTGCTTTTACAAAGAAAAAAAAAACTCAAATTAATTATACTCCCCAACTTTGTAAAGTCATTTAAAAATGAAAAAAGTTAGATCAATTTAACGGGTTATATTCCGTTCGTTTTAAATCAAAATTTTAAATTTTTGTACATAAAAATCAGAATAATCGTGTTCGTTATAATGGTATTTACTTTTATACAATTTGGAACAACACAATTGAGACATACATCACTTGTTATTATTACGATCGTAATGATTGGTAGTACATAAGATCATATCATTGTGGTATTTATTATAAAAGTATACCATGATGGTATGAATATATCATGATGTAGAATGGGTGCTTAAAAAACAATTTGGAAAAATGGATTACATTGCTTAGCATCGCAATAAACTCATTGGATTTGCGGGAAAAAAACTTCGGGTGAAAACAAAGAAGATACAAGTCGATTAAAAAGGTAGGAAAAATAAAAAGTGTTTTTAATCTCGCTCCTTAGATCTGACCCAACTCACAATATAAAGGGGTTATATATAGTTATGCATAATGGAACCTGACTCGAGTAACCCGACCCGCAACCCGAACTGACTAAAAGTCAATGACTCGTAACCCGCCTAACCCGTAACCCGATGGACTCGTAACCCGATTGACCCGCAATCCAATTGAAACCGAACTCGACCAACCCGCAATCCGATTGACCGCAATCCAATAAAATATTATATAATACTAACGAAAGCCCGCTCGCTATCGCTTCGCATATCAGAAAAATAAATATTTTAAAAAGTATAAGTTTTAATGTTGACTCAAAAGTGGAAGTAATCTTATTTTATTCTTAATCATTGTTTTAATAGGTTTGTTATTTACAATAGCATATGGTCGATGAACTTGCATAATGTAGAAGGGTCGTCGAATAGATTATTTAAGTTTAAACTTCTTTCATGACGCCAATGTTTCAATTTGTATGGCTAGTAGTTGATCCTGCTATAACTTTTGCTGAATGAATCAACTTCTCTGGATCTTTTCAAATTAGGTTGGATACCCATGGATTTGGGTTCAATTGTCTTTTTCAAACAAAAGGAAAAAGCAAAACGAAAAACACTAAAGTGAACATGCATCAGAGCCCAGTTCACGGACGCGTTTGCCTGTTCACGATCTTAGCGATCGTAAATTCAGCAATCCGTCCGTGAACTCAAGTGAAAACAGGGCACTTCTTTAAAAATTTTGACTCAACCTATTCCTTCGTGCCTCCTAATTGATCACAACAAAATCATAAACAGCAAAATCACAACACTCGGCACGGGGACACCACTTCACCACTCGAACCCTTCACAAGACACTAAAACGAAAACTAAGGAAAAGAAAACAAACCTCCTTTGGGTTGCCTCCCAACAAGCGCTTGTTCATCGTCATTAGCTTGACGGTTCGGGATGAATCACGACTTCAAACGTGATGCCATCGAGAGCGAATCCACCACACTCACGGGGCGAGGTTTGTAGCCTCCCGTCTTAGGCTCCTTGAGTTGGCCCTCTTGGTTGGCCAACATTGTTTCGGCCTCCCCTGTATTCCGGGTCAAAGCTCCCTTCATCCTTCTTCTCCAAGCATTCAATCTTGGTCCTTTAGGCTTAGGACCCTTCTTAACTTCCTTCTCAACATCATTAAAGACAACACAAGTAACGGTGGGGTTGGCCTTGAGAGGCTCTCCTCCACTCTCATTCACATCATTGGAAACTACCCCCTTAACTTCATCACTCCTCACCCTAGGATCAATTTCAAGCTTGATTCTCTCCTTACCATCCCTCAAAATTAGGGTTCCCTCATTAACGTCTATCAATCCCTTGGCGGTTGCAAGAAAGGGACGACCGAGGATGAAGGGCATATCCGAGTCCTCACTTATGTCGAGAATCACGAAATCGGTCTGATAGCAAAACTTGCCCACTCTCACCATCATGTCCTCCACTATACCTCTCGAACTAATGACCGAATGGTCGGCTAAGGCGATGCTATGCTTAGAGGTCTTAAGTTCGCCTACTTCTAACTTTTTGAAAAGCTTGTAGGGCATCACATTCACACTAGCTCCTAGGTCCACCAAGGCATTGTCTATATGGTGATCACCAATATCAAGAGGGATAGTAAAGCTACATGGGTCAGACCACTTTTTGGGCAAGCGGTCGAGGAGGAAAGCCGAGCACTCCTCGCCAAGAGTCATGTTGGCGAGGCCTTCAAGCCTTGGCTTCTTGATGAGGAATCCTTTGAGGTACTTGGCATATCTTGGAATTTGCGCCATTGCTTCGAGGAACGAGATGTTGAGGTGGAGGTTGCGTAACATTTCCATGAACCCTCCAAACTCGTTGTCCAACCTCTCCTTGTACATCCTTGTGGGATAAGGAAGAGGTGGCACATATCCATCCTCCGACAATGGCTTCCTTGCCGCCTTCCTTTCATTCCGCGAGGGCTTCTTCTCTCCCTTTTTCGGGATGGTTTCTTCCTTGTTAGAATCCTCATTCTCCACCACTTCATTAGTGCCACCTTCCGGAACCACCTTCACACTTCTCACTTGAATTGCATTCACCCCGGCTTGATTTGGTTTCGTCATGATTTGGGAAGGCAAAGCTCCATTGGGTCTCTCGGTGAGGATACCGGCAAGGTTGTCGATTTGCACTTCCGAGCTTTGAAGGCTCGCTTGATGGCTTCAAAGACCCGCCTCAACCGACATAAACTTGGTGGTCGCCAAATCCATAAATTGCTCTATCTTCTCAAACTTTTGGCTACTCGTACTCACAAAGGTGTTCACTAGGTCCTCATGCTTGGATAACTTGTCGAGTTGATGTTGTTGTTGAAACCCTAGGGCACCTTGTGGCTGGTACGGTTGTTGAAATTTCGAGCCTTGGAGTTGGGGCCTTTGTTGGATGAAGGTAGGCCGAGGTTGGAAGTTCCCCGTGGGGCCTTGGATTAGCCGGTGATGCCCAAGCAAAGTTAGGGCGGTTCCTCCATCCGGGTAAGTATTGCTATACGGGTTGTTGACCCTAGCATTTGCCACAAAGTTGACTTGCTCCTCCGGAGTGGTTGCCTCCTTCATTGCTTGGCACTCCGCCATCTCGTGGCTAGTACTCGAACACCAGTCGCACGACATTATCGCCCATTTTCCTTGCCTTTTATTTTCAAGCATAACCTTAAGCAACTTATCCAACTTTGCCTCAAGCGGAGCACTCGCTCCCACACTTCTCACTCCCCTTTCATTGCTTCTTCTTCAACTTCTAGTCAACCCCCAATAATACCCCCTAAGGGCCATGTCTTCTAGGATCTCGGTTATTTGGGGCGTAGTCATATTCATCAACTTCTCCTGACACAAGGAGTCAATGAGGATCTTATCTTCTTGCATTAGGCCTCCGTAGAAGGTTTCAATCTGAAACTATTCTTCAAACCCGTGGTGAGGGCACTGAAGAAAGTAATCGGAGTACCTCTCCCAAGCATACCTCAAGGTTTCGTCCTCTTCTTGCTCGAAATGTGTAATCTTCTTTCTACACTCCGCCATCTTCGAAGGCGGGCAATAACGAGCCATAAACTTATTGAGGAGGTCGTCCCATGAGGTGATAGACCAAGGTGGGCAGTTGTTTAGCCACATAAGTGCCTTCCCGGAGTGAGTATGGGAAAAGCCTTAGTTGCAAAGCTTCGGTCGGCAAACCATTAATTTTCAAGCTCCCCGCGAGCTCCAAGAATCTCTGCACGTGCTCTCTTGGTGACTCGCTTTCATGGCCGTGGAAGAGAGCATTACTTTGTATCATAGTCACTAGAGCCGGCTTGATCTCGAAATTGTTTGCCGCCACCGGAGGATGTAGGATCGGCGATTGAATGTCCGCCGGCCTTGGGGTATAGGTGTCAATTGGGCGGGTTGGGTCGGGTTCGGATTGGGTCTAATCGGGTTGGGTTCAATCGGGTTGCGAGTTCAATCAGGTCGGGTTCAATCTGGTCGAGTTTAATTGGGTTACGAGTCAATCAGATCACTGGTCAATTGTGTTACGGATCAGGTCGGGTTACGGGTGCATCAAATTACGGGTTTATTGGATTGCGGGTTAATTCGGGTTCAGTTAGGTCGGATTATGGGTTATTCGGGTCAACCCATTGGAACAATTACTTCTTGACAGAAAATAATGTTTTACAAACTATCAATATATGAATATAAATTGTAGGTAATGGTACAAAATTTAAGAAAATTATAATATGATAATATTTTACACATACAAATTTAAGAAAAAACTATATAAATAAAATAGTGTATATAAAAGCTTTGTTGTTGGTTATAATTTTTTTTGTTTATTGTGAGAGATTGTAACTTCACTTATTTTATTAATTTATAAAAAAATTGAATCAGTAAAAGTTTGAGAATGAAGTAAAAAAGGTAGACTATATGCTTATACATCTGGAAATGAATCGTCTTAATTAAATATATTATGAACTAGATGCGTGTCTCTTCATTTCCACGAAGACTTGTGAACATTCCGAATCACCCACTTATATATCTTCACAATTTTTTATAAATTCACGGTAACAACTCATCCCAAAACTCATGAGTCGAACAACGGTTCGCTCAAATATGATATTATCATCTACTTCGAA